CAAAGGAGGGACCATGCAGAAAATCACTCAGGAGAGGGCTCCGGACTGGCCCTCCACACTTCCCCATCACTGATGCCTAATAGATTGACATTCATTAAGAAATAGAGTGAGAGCCAAAGAGAAGTAAAAACAAAGCAAAAACAAAGGCTGAAACATTCTGGAACTATTCCCAACTTTGAAAATAATTACATAATTCAGTTTCACACAAACGCTTATATTTCTTTAAAAATTGTTCAAAGTAAGTTGGTATGTTAAGAATATGAAACTACATTATAATGTAATTAAGATATATTCCTTTCTGGCTTTAGGTTGCACTGGCAAAACCATTTTCCACTTGCCATCTTATCCTGTACATCATTCTATTTATATTGGCATTTAATTTCCCAAGCCAGCGAACCTAACATTCAATCTGCTTAATTCCTATCTCATTTTGATGCTGAGTTATTTAAGAACATAAGAAGTTCTCCCTCTGATTTGGCTACAGTACTGAACATTCCTCCAGTGAAATTCCAGAGAGCCAGTACTGATTAAGCAGAACAGCCAAGGCACCTTGACAAACTAGTGGGCTTCAGAGTTTAAAATAAAAAACTCCTTGTGGTCTCTAGGAAGAAATTGTGTTTTAAATTACTGTCTGAAGATAAGGTGGGTAAGATCATTAGTTTTCATTCATTCAGTAGATTCTGAAGATGAATTCTAAGAGAGGAGATGGAATACGGTGGGCCAGATCCACCTCTGTGTCCTGGCTGCCCCTGTGTGAACGGAACACGTGTGCATTCACATTCCTGAGGGGACCATCAGTCAGCATGCCAGCACGGGGTCCGGTCAGCTGCGCGGCCCCTGGGAAGGTCAGGTGGTACACTTAGGAATGGCCACCTGTCACCTGTGTGACTGCCTGTGCCTGGGCCACTCTGTGCTCTGGCAGCGGGCACCCTCACTGTGCAGCTCCATCCAGAGAGCCCTTCCCCTGGTAGCCTCCTACACCCTGACGCTGACCCCTCCGTCTTCCTGCAGTGCTCTGTGGTGGCACAGTGACCTCTCCTGTCCAGCTGTTAGCCACTGCTGGAGAGGCTGTGGCATGAAGGAGACACTCCCCATGCCCACTGTGTGCACAGTTCCTGTGCTGTGTCCTCTAGTGGGGTGTCACATGTCACCCGTTTCAGGTCAGTTTGCAGCCTGCAGACTGTGGGCCAACCTCCCCTAAGGCAGAGGTCACTCCTCTACTGTGAGCTTCTGGCCAAGTGTCTGAGGCAGAGCTGGGCTTTAGAAGTATGCGTCACTCAGGAGGATGAGGTCCTTCCACACCCCGCCCTTCCTCTGGGCCCCTTCCCCCGCAGCCCTGCCTCTTCAACAGGAAGTACAGGCTGCCCCACCGAGTCTCTCCCTCTGGGACAACAGCACCCCCAATGCCTGCCCTGCGGACGCTGCTGTCGGGGGGGGGGGGTCCTCGGGTGAGCATTTCCGTGTGTTCTTCTGGACCCGCTCCTGTTCCCCTTTGCAGCATGACCCCACCCCCAGCCTCCTCCGTGCCTCCTCGCTCACTGGTGCCACAATCCTGTGTGGTCCTCGCACTCCTGTGCTGAGCTTCACCTGCTAGGTCAGCCATCATGTCGGGTATTGCCCCAGCTAAGACCGTGATGAGCACCTCTTTAGAGGGCAAGTCAGAGGCCTGATCCCACGTGCTGACCGGAGGGTTCTCATAGGGACATCCACCGGCCTGTCCAGCACAGGATGAACATGGCGTGAGATTACCACCATCTGCTTGCGCCGCCTCCCGGAAGTTGCCTACCCAGAACTTGCTCCAAGCCTCCCCCTCTTTCAAACATCAAAGAGAGGTGAAAAATCTGAATTCCTCCATGGAGAGTCCTCGGAGCTGTGACTGACTGAATGACCAGGGTGCACCCAGGGCGTCTTGGAGGATGGAGCAGACTTAGAACTATGAACTATTTCAGGGCAGACTTGGAGTCCTTTCACCCTAATGATACATATGATAAGAGAAAGAAGGCTCCAGAGATACGGAGAGTTACTTTGGTTACAGATTTTACTCTGGCTTGTTGGTATCTAATCTGGAGCTCAGAAGTTTGCAATTCTGTTCCGATTTGGTCAATATTGTATTTGGTACTGCTGTTTTTGAAAAGTTTGGTGTTTTCCATAGGGATCCTTCATGTAATCACAAAATAATAAACATGATAATGAGACTTGGTATGTGGGGAAAATAAATGAGTTAAATGAAAAAAGTAGGTGACAAATCATCTAAAACCAATTGCAGGTATAATCAAGAATGCTGCAGATTCATAATCAATAGTTTAACACACACAGACACACACTGCACCAGGCTCATCTTGGATAATCAGAGCTGTATTTTAAAACACACATCAGCTAGTCATTTGAGGAAGCTTGATGTTAATTAACTTTATCCCTTAGCTGAACCTCAAAGGTAGTTTAACCAATGACCACCATCCTGACCTCCATTTCTTTGCAGATGACTACCAAGGGCCAATAAAATGAGTGTGTTTTTTTTGTTTGTTTGTTTGTTTGTTTTGTTTTGTTTTGTTTTGTTTTTTCAAACTGGCTCTTCTTTTATCCTTATGTGTGAAAATAATGCCCATATTTGCCCATATTTTGATGGGTGACAATTTCTCTAAGGCCATTAAGGAGATATACTTTAACCAGACTATAGCATCATCCAAACTGAAATGCCTCAGGTAAAGATATGAGACAGTAGGTTTCTGTAACTGTGTGAATATCTCAGTTGCTCATGGAAGAAGAATCCAGAAACCCACAGAGGATAAGTATCTCCCTCAGCCATGCTGCCCTTTCTCACCCAGGCTTAGAGATCACACAACTGCCCTTTCTACAGGCAGGACATGCAAACAAGGTTAAGTTGGAAAAATTTTACTTACTTCAGAGACAAGAATTAGCCCAAACCCCTGACAGATAAATAAAAGCTTACTATAGCTGCAGTATTTGCTGACTTAGATGAGGATTTAAATCTTAAAAATGTTAAGAATGGCTAATTACTGGGAAGCTCTGAAGGAGAGATTTTAACAGCTGATGTTTGGATCTTGTTTTGACTAGAACATTTTGTTCTCTGGGTCCTTCATGTGCTTATGACTTAAAAAATGATGGGGAAGCAGAAAAATAGGATTATTAAGTATTCAGAGTTTGACTATAACTCTTAATAATGTTTTGACAGAAGTAACTTGTGGATTTAAGTTTCTATGGCATAAAAATGCAGAAATGAAATTTGTACACTTTTCTTACAGACTAGTGGTTGTAAGAGAGTCAAGTTTACTTTCTGAACTTTTCAAATTATTACTATTTAGCAGTCTTATGAGTAATCATCTAAAAGGCTTTTCAATTCGTATTATAACAGAAGTAGCGCTTCTTTGGAGAAATATTTTTTAGATTTATATACTATCTTTTATTTTATTTTTATTTTATTTATTTTTTATACCAGGAATTGTACTCATGACCTTGCACTTGCCAGGCAGGAGCTCTGTATATACTATGTTTTAAAAACTCGATTTAGAAGAAATTATAGCAAAACCCTCTCCTGAAACAGTGCGACATAGCTATCTTAAAGTTCTAAGTCGCCTCTTCAGGACTCTGCTCCTATGTATCAGCTCAAATTGTTGCACCAATATGGAGAAGCAGTGCGGAATGTGTCAGTAGAAGATGGTTGTGTGTTTTACTCTACACACACAAGAAGCAAAGCTCGGTTCATTTCCGTGTGAAGAGACCACACACTGAGGCCAGAGTCCTACAGATGTGGACATAGGCAAGGCTCAGGGTGCCAGCTGGGTCTGCCAGCTGCTGGTCCCTGGTAAGGCTGCAGCATGGTCCCCTGAGGGGGACTGAGCCCTGTTCCCTTGCACAGGACTCACCACAGTAGAAGCCATGGGCTCTCCATCTTGTGTTCCACTGCTTCTGGCGGGCAAAAGTGCCAACTGTTCCCTCTGCAGCTGAGCTCATGATTGCAGGCTGGGAAGCGCTGGGAGAGCAAATCTCTCTTCAGCCAGTTAATAACTGGCAACCCAACTCTGGAAAGGGCAAATACTTCCCAACCCCTGTCAGGAAAGAATATATTTCATACCTTTGAGCCGGCCAAGAGGCGTTCAGGAATCAAGTGTAGGGCTTTATACAAAATAAATTTCATGTGCCATCAGCTCCTAAGTGACCTTTTGAAGAAGCCATAAAAGTGTCAGGAGAAGTGCGCAGCAGGTGCAGGGCAAGGTGACCACCTCCATAATAACCCGCTTCTGCAGCTGGCAGGGCGTCCTGTGCTTTTAAAAACAACTTTCCAGATTGAGCTATAGGAAGCCAATACAAAAGTGATTGTTTAAAATGGCACTCAGGGCGAGTTTGGGGGCGTTCTTACTGATCCATCTTTATTTGTTCCTTTGTTTGATTTCCCTTTCTTCCTCTCTTGCTCCCAATAAAAGTCTCAAGGCAAGATTGAGGGCCAAGGGAAAGGCTTCCTGTAGGGCATTTTAGAAGAAATGCAGGATTTAGATCCTAGAGCTTTGGTAGCGTGCTCTCTCCGTGCAGAGAGGTGCATATTCTGTATAACAGCATGAGCATTAATATCTGTAAACCAGCGGGAGCTTGTGTGCTGTGCATTCCTGAGCCCACACGCTGACATCCAGGGCAAGTGCTGCCCTTACACCGCGTGCTCTGGAGAAAGTCTGTAGTGAGTGCCCTGAGTCACAGAGGATGAGAGAAATGGCCATAGTGGATAAACCTGGGCTGCTCCCTTCTCCAGACTTGCATGGCATCCCGGCAGGGGTGTGTGTGCACTTGTGCATCTGTGTGTAGACACTAGTGGTTCTTGGTCTGTGAACACAGACCCCAGCCCCCATCACCAGCTGAAACACAGCGATTCCTCACCTCCCTGCACTTACACTCCATAGGTGAAAAGGGACAACCTCCCGCCTCCCTCACCTTGACTTCGGGCTGACTGTGGGCACCAGGTCCACTCGTTCTCTACTTCTCGCTCATAGGCTTTGATCTGGTCAAGTGCGAAGACCCTGGAAGCCCCAACTATGGATACCGGATCCGCGACGAGGGCCACTTCACGGACACTGTGGTCCTGTACAGTTGCAACCCGGGCTATGCCATGCATGGCAGCAGCACCCTCACCTGTCTCAGTGGGGACCGGAGGGTGTGGGACAAGCCGGTGCCCTCCTGTGTAGGTGAGTCCCATGGTGGCCAGAGTCTCTGCAGAGTGGTCCAGAGTGACCACTGCATGGGTGGGCTTTCCCACAGCAGAGGAGGAGGAGGAATGGCTAGGCTCTGGCATGCTAATAAGACAGTGGAGTGTGTGTGCATGTGTGTGTCTATGAGTGTGTGTGTGTGTGTGTGCGTGTGTGTCCGGTTTGAAAGAAAACCCCCTGTGCACAGTTATTACTGAAACTATCATGTGAGTGTGTCCTTGTTTCACATGCAGCGTGAATCCCAGAGAACAGAAGCTCTCTGTCAAGGTAAAGGTGGGGAAGGAGACAAAAGCTGACGTACATGGAGGACCGAGGCTTTTCTCTGAGTCTGCAATGCAAACAGGACAGTTTTCTTTTTTAAAGTGAAGCTGAACCTAGATGTGCTGGCTCTGGCCTGTGATGCCAGCTCCCCAGAGGGTTGAGGCAGTAGATTCACGAGTTGAAGGCCAGTCTGAGCAACTTATGGAGACCTTATCTCAAAATAAAAATAGAAAAAGTGCGGAGAGGTCACCCAGTGGTAGGATATTTTCCTGTCCTCTGCAAGGCCCCAGGGAAAAGGGAAAAACAAAACAAACCCAGATCATGGACCCCAACTCTGTCTTTTGCAGCGGAATGTGGAGGTCACATCCACACAGCTACCTCTGGACGGATCTTGTCCCCTGGCTACCCGGCCCCGTATGACAACAACCTGCACTGTACCTGGACCGTGGAAGCTGACCCAGGAAGGACCATCAGGTACTATTAGGCTTCAGCTTTCGCAATGCAAGACAGGGAGCTGTCTTCTCCTCTTGTTGCAGAGAGCACAGTCCATGTTACAGGGAGGTCTTGGTTATAGGAGAAAATACCAAGCTGTGGCTGAATTCTCCCTACCGTACTCCACTAGCCTTTCAAACCATGCCTAGGTATGTGCACCAGAAGGATAGTCAGACAGACAGGCAGACAGAGAATCATTTACCTTCAGCTGCTAATAAAACACCCTTTACTCTGAGTGACTTTTCCCAATTACGTGAGCTCATTACTTGGTGTTTTCTGTGCCTCTCTGACCTGGGTGACTCCTCTGCCCAGGGCGGCTGGAGCCTCTCTCTTACCTCCCCCTCCCCAAGAAAGCAAGTGATGGTAGAAAGCTCTCAGCAGCAAGAGGAGACAAATTTGAGGACTTCTGTTTGCTTCACCTGTGCTACCGCATGGAGGAAGCACGGCTGCTTCCCCTGCACTGAGGTTGTTGAGCTCTCCGACAACAGTCTGCTTTCTCCAGGAGGGTTTCCGGCTTGCTTCCCTCACACTTCCCTCATGGTTTGCTCTCCTGGAAGCAGAGCAAGCACTGTGTCTCCCTAAATGCAAGCCAGGTGGTGAGCTCTCACATTCCAGGCAAATCTAGGACTTGCTTCACAGTGCAGTACCAAAGGGGGAAGGGGACGAATAAAGAATGAGAAGTAACAGAAAATGCACAGCTCTCCTAGCATAGCTGTCCGCAGTGTTAAAACACTCCTTGTGTATCGTGCTGTCGTGTTCTGGAGGAATTTTCTGCTCATCCATTTCCGCTGAAGGTGAAAGTCTGCACTCTTAGATTTCTGAGCTTAGCGCTTTAGTTTAAGGCATGAGCTCCTCCCTGCCAAGAAATTAGATGAAAACCATCAGTATTTACATTGAGTTAACTGGCCTGATACCCAGCTCATCTCCACATGTTCTGGTGACCGAGTCACTCTTCAATAATATGAGCAATTTTTAGTATTAAAGTTTGGAAAATAAATTAATTACAAGTACATAGCTACAATTCCCAAATTGAACTGTGCTCATATAAATATGAGCTGTTAGTTGCTATATTGGTAATGTAGACAAAATCTCCTACATTCCTTACTGGGACATGAAGGATATATCACTAGTACCAACATGGGAGCTGGATTGTTGTCGGTGTTAAACCTGTCTCAGTGTAAGCTGGATTCAGCACTGTGGATTCATCTAAGATTTAAATCATACATGTTTTTCATTTTCAAGAAGAAACAAGGCTCGGAGAGCCACAGGTCTGGCTCCAGGACTCAAGAAAGCTGTTCCAAGGCCTCCTTTGTGTTCCTCGAGGCTTGGAGCAGTGTCTGGCATGGAATACTAGGCTGTGGAGAAGCTTTGTTGTTTTAACCCATGCTTTAATGTAGTCACTGGGCCAAAGTGCATTAAAGGCCCACAAATAACTTTGCACTGAGTTTGGCCCCGATCAGGGCTCTGTGTGAATGTCTCTAAGACACGCGTGTGTGTGGTCTGGGCACTGCTCTGACCTGTGTAATGGAGGCGGCCGGGGCAGAAACCCTGCAGCAAGCAGCTCTGGAGGTGGGAGCGGTGCAGTCACATGCGTACCCCCACCTTGGCTTTCCTGCTGTTCTGCAAGTCTCTGATGCACGTGTAAAATGAGCCTCTCTTCCTAACTATAGCTGGAAATGGCCTTAGGTGGTACAGGAAGGGAACGGGTTTTACTAAGCAAAGGCAGTATTGAAGACATTAATAGCATGTCAATAAGTCATCAAGAGTCTCTCACTTTGCCATGGCAAGTAGAACCTTAAAGGAAGTCACTTTCTCAGCCTGTGGCGGCTGTTTTTCCTCATTGCTGGCAGCAGCAGAGTTAAAGGGATCTGATTTAGCAATCAGAGTACGTTTGATCCCATTTCGATGAGATTTAGAGATACAGTAGCAAACATATGGAAGAGGAAAAGATGCCCACCCTGTGCCCAGGCTAAGCACAGCTTAAGCTGTGGGTACACGGACTGGTTTGGCCCAGCCACCTCACACCTTGATGATGGGGTCTCCCTGCCTTCTGCAGATAACTCAAGGAAGTGACTGACTCTCAGCATGTCAGGCAGCGTGGAGAAAACTGCTCACCAAATCAAACGTACAAACATTTTCATTTGTTTCAAGGCAGATACTTCTGTATAAGGAATCCCATCATTCCAGTGGATCACTTAACTTACTTTGAGTTCCCATCCAGTGCAAAGTGAATACAAGGGCTTTGGCTTGGCTTTAAAGGAGACTTACTTTCCTATATTTTGAAATCACCAGATATAGGAAAATAAAAACTTAAAACAAGTTTGCCATAATCCTAGGACCCAATGTTAACTCCACATTGAAAATGTGTATATTTTTCTAATTTTTATATTAAAGGGCAGATACATAAAATTTTAACCGTATATTTATTTAACTGAAGTTTCTTTCAGTTAATGACTGGTCAAATTTACCTGTCCTTACTTGTAGTCTGCCTCATTCTGTGCAGCCACTCAGTAGCACAGCATTGCCTGAATGCACCAGGCTCTAGGGAGAAGGCGCTCTGGGGACACTGGGGTTGTTTTCGGTTTCCCCACTGTTATGCATAGTTCCACGACCCTGACCCCTTCACAGTACCTTGTAAGACGGATTTCCAGCTGGACTTGTGTGTGCACAAGTGAATTCTATACTCATTCCCAAAGTACTCTAGTGTTCGTGGTCACTGCTACAAGATGAAAATGTACCAACTTCTCCTCGTTCTCCCTGGGACTAAATAACCTGTGTCCATCTGGTTAGGAAAAAAAAAAAAAAAACTTTAAAATGTTCAATCCATTGTATATATCTATAACTTTCTCACTGTTTTTGTTTTACCATTTGACTGTATCATTTGGAGACTTTGCCTTTGAACTTTTTTCCCCACTGAGTTCCTTCCTTGTCTTTATTTGCAGCCCTTCCTTATTTCTCTGGGGCTGACCAGGGCCTCCCTGTCACCAGGGCTCGGGGTCCGGTTCAGGTCCTGTGCCCTTCCGCACTGCCCTGATGCCTTCCCTGTGCAAAACTGGCGGCCCTGAGTGCTGTGCTTTGTGTGTTCCCAGTATCACACGCAACCTAGGGGTCTTAGGGACAAGACCATCTGTTCGATGTTTGAACCTCTCCTGCGCAGTCCTATAGTGGCTGACACTTTGATTTTTAATGCTTTTTCATTTGAGTGAGAAATGAGTGTCACTTCACCACTTCCCTGCTGGATGTACAAGACGTTTCCCCAGACCGGGAAACACACGGGGCAGGGTGTGTGCTTGATCCTCCGTGTAAGCCTGCATTGACGCCTCGTGCACACAAGGAGCAGACCACACACACCGCAAGCGTGTGGCTGCTGCAGCCAGGGCAACCTGAATCTCCAGTGCACAGACACGATCAGAAGTACGATCAGGTCAGATGTGCCCACCTCTGTACACGGACGGCCTCCTCCCCACATCGTTATGGTGCCGACTTTAGAAGGGTTTTGCCAACTTCAGAAGAGTTTTTCCAAATTCGAGTGTCATAAACTTGGAATTGCGCAGAATGGTTTGCTTTGTGGCTTCTGCGACTTCCTGAGCCCGCAGCCCTCAGCACACATGAATATCCCACTGTGCAGGGGATGTGCGGCTATTTAACTGTCCATGTGTGGGGATGATAGACCCTGAGGGCTTCGACCCAGCTTGGGTGCCTGCAGGGGTGCGACATTGGAGGTGCTACACTTGCTCCTCTTCTGTGCCCTGGGGTAGGGAGCCAGTGGGTGGGGGACACCCCGGCCTTCATAGGAACCAGCGCAGTCTCCTAAAGTGCTTGCCTTTGTCCCTCCTCCCATCTGGAGGGTTTTGGGCTCTTCACCGTCCCTGCCGAGCTCTACACTGAGCCCCTTCCTCACTGCAGCTCCCCCAGGCTCCAGTTTCCCCAAGGACGGGCTGGCAGGGTCAGTACCGTCTATGTGTTGAATGGCCCTTGCTTGGCACAATGCCAGCTGAAGTCTCTGCCCTTTAAGGTTTTTCAATACTAGAGAATGCCTTTTTAAAGTTAGTGTGTCTATGATGTTTACGTTTCCCAAGTATTCTCTCTTATGGGTTACACATTTCACACTATAGTCTCTCAGACTATAGTCTCGATTCTGCAGTGTTGTTTTCAGTCTTACAATAATCCCGTTTGCTAAACACAAATTTTCCCCTCTGATGTACTGGATTATTTTTTACTTACTTTTATTTGTGATCACTGAGTTCTTGCCTGTAGTTAAGTTTTGCTTCCTTTTATATTTTGTTAAATGTTTTTCTTAGGGCTTTCCCATTTGGATTAAAAGACCTTGCATTCCCAAAGCTATAAAAATATTATTTTAAGTTTTCTTTTATGTTTGTTTAGCCTCCTGTCTTTTTCCATCGTGAAACCTGAGTATTTGTTGAAGTCCTGTTTCCTTCACTGCACCGTAGTGAGATTCTGTGGTCACCATAGGTAGGTCCCCTCCAAGCTTCTGTGCCTTCCCCAGAAGCAGCTACCATCCAGGGCTACACTTTCTGAGCTTGGTGATTTGGTGTCTTTGCCGCAAGCCTTGACATCTGGGTTGTTACGTATTCTTCATATAGATCTTTGGTTTTGGACTCTCTGAACTGCTATTTGAATTTCAGAAATTACGCAAGATTTTTATTGAAATCACAATACATAAATAAACAGGGTTATTGGGGGAAATTGGTGTCTCCTACTGAATTTTCTGATTCTTAATATAGTGAATTGCTCCATTGATTTAGGACACATTCAGTTTTTCTACATGAAACTTTTGTTCTGTGTGAAAGTCTTGCCCATTTTGGTAGGAGTTACCCCGAGTTAAAGATGACAATGCAGATAGTACTTGTGTTTCATTCTCTATTTTTGACAATCCATACAAATGAATGGTCTTTTTATATTTGTCTGATGAAAGTTTAACTTATTAATTCTGCTCGTAAATTTAAAAATATTTTTCTATACTCACAATGTTATCTATAAATAATGGTCTTACTTTTCACTTTTTCCAATCTTACATTCTTCTTGTCATATGACTGCATTGAAAACAGCAGCAGAATAATGCTGTCTGCCACGTGACACAGCAGACATCACTGTCCTGTGCCCAGCTGAGGGACACAGTGGTTATTATTTACGTCAGTGGATACTTTTCCACACATTAAGATTTAGAGACATTTAATTTTTTTTTTTTTGGATTTTTATACTGTTTTTAACTTAGCACTGACTTTAACATCTTTTGATATATTTATCTATATTACTCTTTTTTAGTTAATTTTTGTAACTCACATTTTCTAGAAAGCACGTCGTGTATTCTTTAAAAGGCTTTGCCACAGGGCAATCAGTTAACTTCCTCCTTCCTTCTCCATCACTCATCCCTGTGGCGGGGCCATGCTCACCCTGTGCAGTGCTGATGGTGCCGCAGTGAGGAAGAAGGTGAGCGCCAGCTGACGATTTTACTTCAACTTGTAGAACTAGTAATAACGCAGGTTTTGTATTTTATAAATGTGAAATATGATAATTTGAAATTGTTCCTAAAAATTCAGATAGTGAAAACTTGAAAAATAGCATCAAAATGAAGTTGAGGAAGTAAAGGTGTGAAAACAACAGCGAGAAATTAATTTTTAAAGGTGCAATGAACAAATCCAGAATGGGAGTCTTGAAGGAGCTGTGTTATGTAAACGAGTAACTGACAGGAATTCAGATCAAATACGAGAAGCCCGAACAAGTGCTGATTGGATAGAAATAGAAGTACATTGATACCATAGAAGTCATTTTTATTAAAAAAAATCAAGATTATAGATATCTTTTACTAATATACTAGGAAAAATCTTTCAAAGAGAAGAAAAAATGCACTACTTTTAGTGAAATAAACTTATCAAAGTACAAATATAGCACATGAAAAAGAGAGAGCTGACATTTACAATTCATCCAATTTAAATATTAAAAAACTTTATGCTCTTTTAACCAGGTGTAGAATAATTATTTAAAAGAATTTGATCATTTGTATGATGATTAAAAACAGAGAGAATACAAAGCAGCATTCCTGACACACTGAGCAGCACGGAGGCCCAAGCTGGCTCTGCTCTGCCTGTGCAGGTCTCGAACCCAGAGCCTGGGCCTCCCCAGCTGCCTGCTGATCCTCACCTGCCTGTTCCTCTGCTGGGTCAGGGCCAGCTGGACCTCCTGGCTTCCTCGGCAGCCCCCTCAGTGGCCTGGCTCTCCTGGCCTTTATGCCTCATGGGGTCCCCTCTGCTTCCCAGGTGCACACTCCCTAGGGCTGCTGTCCTGCTGGTTCCTGCTACACTCTCAGTGACAACACAAAGTGCTGACAGATGGCACAGTCCAACTCTGCTCCACACCTGTCTCTTTTCTGATCTCAGCCATTCCTTTCATTCCTGGCTGCCCGTGGTTCCTGGATGCCCTCCCTCATGGTACTGCCCAGCTTACCTGGCCCCTCATGGGGACAATAGCAAACGCCTTGCCTTTTCAGGCTCTGCCTAGACACTGCCGGGCAGCCCCGTGGGTCACTTCTGCCTCTCCTGTCAGCCGCACTGACCGGCTGTCAAAGAGCAGTGTCGCCACCTGCTTGTCGCTTCAGTTGGGGTTCACCTCCTTTCATTGCAACATCACTGCACCCAAGAGTCCTAGAACCTACAACTTTGTTGTAGGTTGAACTGCACCTCAGGGGGTCAGGGAGCCCTGCAGGGGGCCAGAATGGTCCAGGATCCCATCTAAACCCAGGCATTCCACACCCACCAGAACTCCTACTCACACACCTGCTATTCTCACACTTGCCGGTGTAGTGTCAGTTGTGACAAAGTGTGGGCATTTATGCATTGTTGGGAAACTACAAATAATGACAGTCAGGAGAGAGAGAAAGTTGTGTTTTTTTTTTTTTTTTTTTTCCTTGATGCCAGACCTAGAGAGATCCTTGGTCAGTGAACCGGGTGCCCACTCAATGCTGTGGCCTGGGGCGGGGTGGGGGGAGGTGGGTGTCCTTCATCAGAGGACGAGGCTCCTGCTGTTATCTGTGCAAATTAACCCTATGTTGCTCAGCATGGAAGATGCTCATTGTGCTCGGCATAGAGGTAATACATGTGGTGTGTTCTCTATTGCACACACAGTGGCACATACACCTATGAAAGCTTTAGGTTTAAATGACATTGCACGTGGTAAGGTGTGAGATGCAGAAGGAATGAGTGACTACGGGGGCAGGGATAGCGTAGGTGCATCTGTAAGAGTTTGCTTAAAACACACCAACAGAGTTAAACGTTAGCACGGATGGTGACACAAAATGTGTCTGCTACTTCTGCTCCTCCCTCTGGAACTAGGTTTAATATTTGAGCCGGGCATGATCTGTAATCCTAGCACTCAAGAGATTGAGGCTAGAGGATCACTGTAGGTTTGAAGCCAGCCTGGGCAACATAGTGAGCTCAAGGCCAGTCTGAACTTTGGAGCAAGAACTTGGTTCAAACCCCTCCCTCCAAAACCCTCAGTGATATAGATTATACAGATAGACAATAGGTGAGTGTTTGAGGATCACTTGTGCATTTTACTGTGCATGGAACAGAACAGCTGGATGGAACAGCAGTGTTGTATATAGAATGTGAAGAGGTCCAGGAGACCATGGTCTGGATGTCACGTGTGGTTTAATTGCCCTCACAATCGGGTGCAGTGAGCAGGAAATATCTGTGGACACCAGGTGCCAGGTGCAGGACCAGCAGAGCTCTGCTGGCCTGAGCATTGCCCTAGCATCCAGGTCCCCAGACCGGGCCACAGCTCCCTGCTCTCCATCCTTCCGGGCTCCTAAGGAGGGGGACCTTTCCTGCCTCTGTGTTGCAACTTCTGACAGTCTGGTTTTCTGCAGTGAAAGGCAAGAAACTAGTCCATGATCAGAGCCAGTCACTAGGCCATGGACAGCCTGGCGGGCATGCCTGTGTCACCATCTTCCTCCTGCTGTGAAAGATGCCCCTCATGGGCGCTGAAGAGCAGCACTGAGTGGAGGGAACAAGTTCTGGGTGCCCTGGCTGGGACTAAAATAAAACCCTATGGTAATGGTGGCACCAGCTCCCCTGTGTGAGACTCTGCCCACACTCAAGGATCTTTGCCCTGCTAGGCTCAGTCTCACTGCACATGGGCATTGGCACCTGTGCCTCAGTTCCTCGTTCTCCATTGCTCCCCACTCCTGGCCACGCTTGCTTGTTTATTTTGGGGCACAGTCTCTATGACAGTGCAGGTGACACCAGCATCAAAGCTCAGGCTGGAGTCCAACAAGGCATGAACACACCAGCATGCTCTTTCTCCACAGCCTGCACTTCATCGTTTTTGACACAGAGCTGGCACACGACATCCTCAAGGTGTGGGACGGCCCTGTGGACAGTGACATCCTCCTGAAGGAGTGGAGCGGCTCGGCGCTGCCGGAGGACATCCACAGCACCTTCAACTCGCTCACGCTGCAGTTCGACAGCGACTTCTTCATCAGCAAGTCGGGCTTCTCCATCCAGTTCTCAAGTAGGTGCAGCATCCGTCCCTAGTCCCCAGAGCTTCTGTCCCTGTGCTGGGCACCCTTTGCATCCCCAAGCCTCCTTGTAAGCAGTGTGTGGAGGGAAGTTTGCATCGTGGAAGGGGCACTATGTAGGAGAGAAGAAATTTCTCTGCTCAGCTGTTTTTGGGCCCTAGGAGCTCTGTGACTGAAGACAGACTAGCAAGACGAAAGCATGACAGGGGGCCTCCCCAGATGAGGGCCTCGGAGAGAGGAGGTGCTCCTGTGGAACAGGACTGCAGAGGAAGGGTATCAGCAAGGGCAGAAAACTGGGGCACAGTGTTGTGTTCACCTCAGGGTGTGGGGTGCTCTGGAGGTAGGGTCTTATGATTTGCTTCAGCCAAAGATTGCAGTTCTCATATGTGTGGCTTTGGAGATGGGGCAAGAGAAGGAATATGGGGTTCTGGCTCAAATGGGAAGGGCCACATTTTGGGGGTGGTGTCTTGGCCCTGTTGGTAGCAAGAGAGCAGTGTACTTTCAGAAACCCCATAGGGACTAACAATATGTCTATTATTATGTGGGAAAATGTATTACTTGAGTGGGCTCAGTCAGCGCGCCACCAACCCATGTGGAACACAGATACTGTTCTTTTGAGTGGGTGCGCAGCTCACATTTGAGGTCCCCCTAATCTGGCAGCCATCCCCAGCCACCTAACTCCCCTAGTGGGAGTCTGTGGGACCTGCTTGGATTCTCCACTCTGACCTCAGCTTGGGAGTGGCCTGTGTGCTTTTCCCCCAGAGCTAAGGTTCAGGAGGTGGTGGAAGAGAATAACTTCTGCAGGATTACCAGTGGCAATCGCACGGCTCACTTTTATCTCCTTAAGATACTTCCCACCTTCGAGGTCCGGCCCACTTAAGGGCTGATCTCCTGAGGACAGAGTGGAACTGTCTTGTGGCCTGACTGTACCCTTACAGGGCACCAGGCATAGAGCCCAGCAGCACACAGGGCCATGTCATCACATAGCAAGCAGCATCTGCATGTCCTCAGGTTCGGTGGATGCTCCAACAACTCCCTGTGAGCCTCGCTTAGGATTCAGCAAGGAAACCGACCAGGCCTGTTGAGGCTTTGAAAGGCTGAGAGCAAAAATGAGGTTTCAATCCACAGCACCTCACCTCTGCTTCTGCTGCGGCTGGGGGACAGCAGTTGACCAATGCACACCTGTGAAATCACACATGGGTGTGCAAACACTTGCACACCTGCGGCAAACCTGTGGCAGGAGGCTTGCTCCAGCACTTGCCTGGCGGGAGTCTGCTCTTGCAGACTGTACTCCTGCTTTCTTCCATGATGTGACGTGGCCTGTTACCACCTGAGAGTGAAGGAGAATACATGGCAGGTTGGAGCTCAGGGCCTCACTTGGAGAACAGGATGATTGTTAAGGCTGTCAGTTAATAATGGTCACTCTCCTCCTTTTCTATGCATCACTGGATGTGTAAAATTTAAATGTATATTGTCTGTCTATCTATCTATGTATCACCTGCCTGCCTGCCTGTCTGTCTGTCTGTCTGTTTGTCTATCTATCTATCTATCTATCTATCTATCTATCTATCTATCTACCATCTGTCTAAGTACCGAGGCATATGGGTTGAATTCAGGGCCTGCCCCTGCTAGGCAAATGCTCTTCCCTGAGCTACAGCCCATGCCATTTTGTAATTGAAATTGTTGGAGCAGAAGTGTGTGCAGGTGCCCAGCCTAGGTTTGCACTCGCAGACCTCCTGCCTCAGCCTCCTATGCAGCTGGGCAGGCGTGGGCATCACCTTCTGTGACACTGTTTTCACTAAAGCTTAATCACCATTCACTCGTGGGTGAGACACAGGGAAATGGAACAGACCAGGGAAGCAGCCTTCATCCTGGGGTGCAGCCAAATTCCACCCTCTTCAGATCCAGATGGGCACCCCATCCGGGGCCAAGGTGTGGGGCATTCTGCATTCTCAGTCTCAAGGCTGGTTTCTCTAAACAGCAGAGGTGATTCTGCAGCTACACTACATGTCTCCGCCTTCCTGAAAGGCAATTTAACAGGTACATTTTGATTTAAAAGAATCATTTTCTGTTTCTAAGGAGAGAGTAGTTGCCGAGTTAGGGAGAACTCTTAGAGACGTGCCTAAGAGATGTGGTGCTGGCAGGCTGAGGGGTTGGGTGGCAGCACAGGGACAGTGTGCTGGACCGGGTCCCTCCTGCCCTCTACACCCCCAGAGACTTCTAGGGACAGGTGGGGAATACCTGTGAGTGATCATGCTGACCACTTACCCAGAACACACAGTGATGTTAGAAACTTCACATTGTAGATGGCATCCTGCCTGAACCCCCTCGGGGCTCCCCCTCAAGTGCCCTTCTCCCATCATCCCTGCCATTCCTGAAACACTTCTGGAATTCAGTTTTGTGAGTCTTTATGATGTGCACTCACATTCAGTGAATGTTGCCATCTGCAAAGTGCCATCCAGGGAAAAGCAGGCTGGCAAGGATGTCACAAGGTGTCCTCTTCTGCCTCCGTGACTGGACCTGGCACTGTGTGACCTCTGGCTCTCCTGCAAGGTCACAACAAGCATGGAAGGTCAACGCTGAGGTTCAAGTCACAACATTAAGGGCCATGATAGTGCAGCTGATGGCACTCAGAGCAACAACTCAGGTGCTCCAGCAGTGTGGCAGGTGTGCTCAAGGCGGGGGTGGGGGGGTGCATTTAGAGGGGATAAATGGCAATGCATCTTTTATTGTAATGAGATGTATTTTGAATTTAAAAATTCTCTGTGCTTTTCAATCACAGATCATAGTTCAGGAACAGCCCTAGGCCTAAGCAAGTTTATTCCACTGCGATCCCCTGGCCACCTGCCCAGGACAGAGACACCAAAAACTCATGCTGCGATGAGGTGACACTAAGTTGTGGCTTAGCGGAAGTTGTTGGATCCTCTTTTGGTGGAATTTTGGTTTAAGCGCTTTTCTGTCTCATGTTAGCAAAATTAAGACTCTATGGAAAGTGAGCAGTGCACAGTGCAAAACCATGCTGTCTGCTCTGGAAGAAGTAGCTCAGTGCTCACGGCCTAACTGGCCAGCAGCTGCCTGCATCTGTGAGAACACTGGCTCACCCGTGCCCACGGCTCCATGGGGAAAACCTGCTCCAGTTCCAAGCTTGCAGGTGCAGCCTCAGCAATGGTCCTTCCTGCTCCACTCCCTCCCCAAGACCTGGGATGTGAAATTCCCTACAAATTCCAGGCAAAATCACTCAATTTCCAACACTAACTCAGCACAACAGGGGTAGGAAGAGGTGTGAAGCATGTTCTTAAAAGAAAGAAACTGTCCCATATGTAGCCGGTGGGCAGATGCACGGTCTACAGTGTATCACTGGGATAAGTGTAAGGGAATGAGAGTGCTCCGAGGAAAATCCCAAGCTGTGCCATGGCCTGAAGCTCCTGAAGCGGCCCTGTGGATGTCTGAGTGTGCAGTCCCTATCCAGGTTCCTGAGCAGGAGCTCCTTTTACAGAGTCTCAAGGTCCCCCTCAGACAGTGACCCCGAGAGGCTGAACTCGTAGCTGAGGCCATTCCTAGCTCCCCAGGTGGGCCCAGGTCGCAGACCTTGTGTCCCAGTGACTGCTTTTGTCATCACCTCAAATCTGATGCCAGACGCGCTCTGTTCCTGTCTTTCCATTTCTTGTGTGTGCGTCCACGTTCCTCATATTTTAGTTACTGGCTCCAGAGAGGCTGAATTTGTTAAATGATTTGTCATATCTCTCCCCTAATAGTCACGGTCCTTAGAGCGGCTCCAAGGTCAGACATCCATGCAATAAATGTGTCTAGATGCGCTGCAAAGTGACTTATCTGTGTTTCCCTCAAGCAGCTCACATTCCTTTGAAAGAATTAGAAAGCACTTGAGGTACAGGTCTGAGTAACTGGCAATATTTACTAAAGAGACTATAAACTACCCAAATGTTAGCAATCCCTCTTCTGACTCTAAACAAAAAGCTGTGTGCATGTGTGTGTGAATTGTAACTAATAAAACTCCTTTGAACTATAAAGGACTGTGTCATCCAGAGGTCTCTCTCATATGCGCACACATGCATACACACACACAGACACCCCTACAGCTGACCCTTACGCAGTCCTCTGAAGGACAGAGTGCAGCACTGACCCCACTGGCCCACTCCCTGCACACCAGCTGTGTGTCCTCCAGGACACATATTGGTGCCCTCAGCACCCATCTCCTGGCTAATTAGGTTAAATCAGGGCATGGCACTCTCCTTACCACCTGGGGTGCTGAGGACCCCTTCCACCAGAGTGAAGGACACAGAAGTGACTGGACTTGCAGGTTTTCTTTAGATACAAGGGATGGTTATTGTTTACTCTCAGTCGCAGAGAGAGACCGACTCCCGGGAAGCGTTCCTTGAGAAGTGATGAGTCTGCAGGGCTCATGTTGGATTCCTGCCCGCTTTTGGCCTCCTGCTCCACACCACTCAATGAAAACCAACAGCAGTGAGCCCCAGAACGAGAAGATAGGGGGAGCAGGCCCTGAGCCACTCTAGGGCAGGCACGGACCTCAGGAGGTGTGGACCTCAGGAGCCCTGGCCAGCTGAACTCCCATCTGCAGCAGGGGCATGCAGGGTTGACGTAGGAGCAGGCGAATCTGCAGGATGGGTAGCGGAGAATCTGTGATGGTGTCCCCCACACCCTGATGTACATCAGGAGATAGAATCCTGATGATCGCACCTCCAGGAAGGCCTAGGATCCATTTAATCCTGGGTGCAGATGTGAGTACATAGGAAAGAGGCTCCGGAGAGTAAGAGTTGAAGTTGTAAAGTCAGTATCAGTTTTGTTCATTAGGAAGAAACCAAAACCACTGGCTTAACGTCCCTTTACTTTAATGAGGATGCAAAAGACATAATTCTGTGGCACATCTGAGGTTTAATGTAGACATAAAGAGCTTTTGCAAAAAGTTTAAAGGAGCCATTTTTACACCTCGGGTACCGCAGACCCTCCATCCTCC